AGTACTGGGACCAGACCAAAGAGCCACACCAGTCCATGTCACAGCCCTTTTTTGTCCAGAGAATTTCTTGCAAACACTGGGTAAATCACCTATCAGCAAATCACAGTAGTGCAATTCACAGCACTAAAAACTGTAGGATTTAGGAAACTAACACAATCACTAATTATTCCCTATGAATCTTTAGTCATCCATAACAGATACATTACCTCGTCATATTTTCTGTCAACATTTTTTTAACTCAAAAACACAGCAGACTGCTGGTGGACTGCCCTACCCCAGACTTGGGTTTTCTGTGGGAAACTTTGCAGCAAGAAGGTCTTGAATCTCAGCCTAGGCTCTTTTTGCATCACGTTTCCATGTTTTCCCTTTTATTCTTGAGTTCTTTCTCTCATCAATTTTAAGCAGTTCTCTCTAAATTGCATGCTTGGGCATGAACATGTGCATGCATTATTGTGTGTCCTGGGTCTCAGTGTTGGCCTGAGATGGACTGGAGATGTGTCCAGGATACACCCTGCATCTCACCAGGCACAAGCCTCTCACCACAAGCATAAAAAACAAGAGAGACAAAGTTTGGAGTTTCAACATCAAGTGAGAATCACTAAAGAATAAGTAAATATGCCAGTGTGGGGAATATGTTTAAATAATTGAGTTTAACTGTTTAATGATATTGCAGTTCACCGAGAAAAATCAACAACAAAAAACACCTGCATGGCATGCAGTTAAAAGTCTCAATCTGGCCTCTCTTTTTACCAGAAAGAAATCCAGTGTGCTGTCCCATACCAACTTTTACCTATCCATGTGAAAATTGTATGTTTGTTTTTATTCCTTACATATGTAATTACCTCCACTTTCAAAACATACTTGCCAGTGACAAACTGTGGAAATTCCTACACTTTCTAAACGGGTCGGCTCCACTGACCCCTGCAGTGGAACACGGGGTTTTATGGAATCATGCAGTGATATTGTCACATCAACAAAATGTGATCGGAATTAAAACAAAAACAACCTCCACCATGCAGATTAATGCTTATTAACAGAAAGGAGGAGGACTGGCGGGGATGAAGTTACATTCAAAAGAAAAAAGAAAAAAAAATAGATCGAGCTACTGCAACAGACCTGCATTCTGCATTTGACCAGGTCGAGGGGAACAACAGCTGTGTGTGTGGTGCCACAGCTCAGAATCCCACCAAAACCACACAGGATAAAATACTTCTGAGAGCCGAACTCACAACTGTCTCCCTCTGAAGAAACAAAGGTGAGGTATTAAAAATTGAGCACTTCTGCTCAGAAAGGGGAAACAAAGTAGAATTCAATACACCTGATTACGTGTTTGGGACATGAGGTCAACATGCTGTACATGTACCCTTGTCATCTGCTACAGTACTTGAAACTACGAGTAAATACGAGTAATTTGCAGCCCCTACAGTCATTTGTCCTTCGTTGTCCTCGGCATGCAGCCGGCCACAGAAGAGGCCCGATAGCAAATTGCTCCAACAATTAAACATTTAATTATTTTAAGGCTAGTAAAACAGAAGTTGGGCATTAGATAATCAGTAAATAAAGAGACCATTATTAGACTACATAATAAACTACGTCTTGTCAGGGCAAATCTATAGCTAGCGTGGCTACAGTTAGCTCTGCTGCTAACGACCCGGTTTACCGTCTGCTGTTGCAGCTGCTGCCAGTCTGCGAGGCCGTTGTCCATTGAGGCTCTGTTGGGGTTCTTCCACTTTCTGGAGGCTGAACAGAGGGGCGCCGAACGGGTTGGCTCTTGCCAGCTGCGTCAGAGAAGTCGGGTACATGGTGGCGGAGCTACGCTACAGAGATCAAAATGCAAACCATTAGCTTATGCTAACTAGTAATGAAATCCTTCACTGACAACCAAAAGCAAGTGATACAAAGTCATTGGGACATGAAATATACATCGTACTTAACAATGCAGCGTATACGTACTTGGATGTTGACTTAAATGGATATAACGTCGGTTTGTCTGCAAATTTATACCGGCCTGTCTTTTCCTCATTCAGGCCAAGACTAAACTACTGTAAAGGATAGGCTAAGCTACCTCAATGGGGCTGACCAAGGTTATAGTCCCCTTTTAAGTCCCCCTCTTCTCACACATACACACACATAATTCGAATACACTAAACACAGTTATTATTCTTCCCGTAATAAGTACTGATGTTCTATTTAATATAAAGGATTTATAACAAATAAACTTACTTTCAGTGTCTCAAGATGGCGCCTCCGCTTTTCCGCAGCCGGCTGCTCGGAGAGACTTGATGACCTCGCGGTAAATCAATTTGTCCTTTCATGACGTCATCAACCCTCCGGGCGTGATCGCTCTCTTCTTTGTCCAATAGGACAACGGTACATATATGTCGCTTATAATATTTGGACAAATCACAGAACAGCGCTGACAGAATTAGGGCGGTTCTTCTGGCGACCTCAGAATGACTTTCAAACGGATTGGCTTTGCACTTTGGCTTATGTCCCCACAAAGTTAGTCTCTTATCATCCAGGATGTTCAAAATGCAAAATGCAAAATAAAATAAAATAAAATAAAATAAAAGTCATAAAAATTGGGGGTGTCTTGAATCTTTATCGGTTGTTCTAAAAAAAAAAGTTACACACGCACACACACACAAAAGCACATTCATACATATGTATATCACATGCGTAAAATGGTTGGGGTCACACTGCCACCCACTGGGGATCTGGCAAAACAACGCTACCTGTCGAGGGCAACAAGAATCGCTAAGGTCCCCTCTATCCTCTGTCATGGATTGTTCTCTCTGGGCTGAGGTGTGTTTTCTTAGGCGTCTGCACAGGAAGTGCCCTTTTGACAGGGAAGCTGGTGTGCAGTGACCAGGTGAGAGTGTCTGCTATGTGGACCCTAAGGAACATAAGGTGCGTGACAATCTCTACAGTAGTATTCTTGATGTTGAACAGGGTGTCCACATGCCGTTTCCTCCTGAAGTCCATCACCAGTTCTTTGGTTTTTCCCACATTCCAAAGCAAGTTGCTGTTGCACCATTATACAAAAAGTTTGACCTCCTCTGAAGTGATGGGGGAAGGATGGCGGTGATGTGACCTTTGACCAGCATTTCAGGATTTTTCTGCATTTCAAGGGTTA